ATATGGCCGCGATTAATTTGCAAAATTTTGCGAAAAATTGAGAACTTCAGCTGCCTTCGACTTAATGCCAGACGCGCTGTTTATTGTTTACGGTTAACTTTTTTTACGCAGAATTAGAGAAAAACAACTTTTTTCACTTTTACTTTTGTTTATTGAAATTTTCGTTTCAAAAAAAATTTATTTTCTTTCCTTAAAAAATCTTTTTTTGGATTTTTTTAGTATAGTAAATATAAAAAATAAAAAAAGGGAAATAAAATGGCTGGAAATGTGCCAATAACAACAATAAAAGGAAAAAAAGTAGTAGCAGTTAGGGGGGGGGCTTTTACTTTTTCTCTCTCAAATAAATAAATATATTTTTTTCTTCCTTATTCCTTTTTAAGCTGGTGAATGACGAGCAAAAGCAGCTTTGAGCAAAGGAATAAAAAAAAAGAGAGAGAAATATTTTTTAATAAAAAGAAATATTAAAAATTTAATTATAATTAAATTTTTAATTAAAAAAATAAATAATGACAGTCATATAAAATCGAATGATACTAATTTCAAAAATATTTGGTGAATGTGGATAAAATTATGTCTGATTAAATCGAAGTTGCTCTATTGAATTCGGACAAAGTTTTTTTCCATTTTAAGGAAAAAACGTTTTATAAATCATAAATTTTTAATTTACCAGTTAATCTTAGTGAAATATAAATAAAAAAAAAAGAAAAATTTTAGATATATTATGTGTGAATAATTTGAATAAATTGGGAAAAACATTTAAAATAAATTAAAATAACATTTTAAAAATTATTTTAAAACTTAATATTCCTCCAATCTCGCTAATTTTTATTTCACTTAACTCGAGACGCATGAATAATTAAATTATTTGTGTTGTTTTATCAGGTATTGTTAGGTATTTGATTTATCACACTATAATAAATAAATATCTTGTGGGGAACATGACAGAAAAATATAAATAAAATTAAGACCGTTTACTTTGTCTTAAATAGGTTTTAGAATAATACAACATTGGCTGAATATTTTTAAAATACTAGTAGAGCATTCTGAGTCAGAATGTCTATCAGAATTTCTGACAATGAGAATATACATATAAACAAAATTTTAGAAAGATTTTAAATTTATATATAAATAACAATTCTCTCGTCAACATTTTTTGCTTTATTCCATGCATCGATTGTGCCAAATAAAAAAATAAGGAAAAGGGGGGAATGCCCGTTCTTTATTATGCTTTATTTTTATTTTATATTTTCTCGAAAATTGTGTGTTTTTTTTTCAAACTAAACATTTATGGAATAGAAGAAAAAAACGGAAGGAAAATTAAAGAAAAGAGAAACGGCATAGAAAAGGGATGTTTTTCACAAGAAATTGGCAAATTGAAGGAAGAAAAGCTAAAAATAAATGAAAGGGGTTTGGTCAAAATATTTTTATAAAAATTGACAAAAAATATATAGAAAGGGGCGGATTTGGTGGTTTTTAAATAAAAAAATATTTTAAAAGAATAGTCAAAATTGTAGAGTTTTTTATGCAAAATTTAGAAGTTTTTTGTAGTCTAAAATTAATTCTTTCATAAAAATTTAAAAATCTTGTCTTAAAAACGAGAAAATCTCCTCCCTAGGGAAGTTTTTCCTTATTGAAAAATTTTTTTTAATAAAAGGGTATAATTTATTGTAGAAATATCAATCTTCTTCATAAAAAAAGGTGGTGAATGAGAAAAATCATACAAGAAAGGGGAAAACTAATTAGAGAATAGTTAAAGAAAGAATTGCGTGAATTGTTAATACACTCTGTTAATAAAGTATAAGCACCCCTAAAATTTTTGTGAAAATACATGATCCCTAGGCATTATTTGTTTTATTTTTTTCCTATATTATCAGGGATCCAAAACATAAGTAAAAATAAAGTTTCAAAAAATTTTATTGCTTTAAACATTTTAAAATTGAAATTTCTCGAAATTAACGTGTTAAGAAAGTATAAGCACCCCTGTAAAAATTTAGTTTCTACTGATTGTAAAATTCTACAAAAAATACAGTAAATATGTCTATCGATATTATGGAAAATAAAAAAAGAATTAGGCCAATATCTCATTCCAGCGTCGAGATCTCGAACCCTTAAAATCAACGTAAAACAGGGTTTTTCAACTTCAAAAAAATTTTTCGACCCCTTATGGTTTATTTCGATTTTTCATTATGAGCTCTTTCGAAAGCCCTTTAAATTTGCTACAAGTAGCATAAGTTTTATTTTCCAAAAAAATTATTTCAGCAAGTTATTAAGTTTTAAATTTCTAAGGCACAAAAAACGTCCAAAATACCCCATAAAATTATCTCTGGAGGATTAACGCCCTGTAACTCTCTATTGAATTTTTTACTGAGATATATAAATATCCCTATCTTGTAGCAAATTTAAAGGGCTTTCGAAAGAGCTCATAATGAAAAATCGAAATAAACCATAAGGGGTCGAAAAATTTTTTTGAAGTTGAAAAACCCTGTTTTACGTTGATTTTAAGGGTTCGAGATCTCGACGCTGGAATGAGATATTGGCCTAATTCTTTTTTTATTTTCCATAATATCGATAGACATATTTACTGTATTTTTTGTAGAATTTTACAATCAGTAGAAACTAAATTTTTACAGGGGTGCTTATACTTTCTTAACACGTTAATTTCGAGAAATTTCAATTTTAAAATGTTTAAAGCAATAAAATTTTTTGAAACTTTATTTTTACTTATGTTTTGGATCCCTGATAATATAGGAAAAAAATAAAACAAATAATGCCTAGGGATCATGTATTTTCACAAAAATTTTAGGGGTGCTTATACTTTATTAACAGAGTGTAATTGGTTAACTTTACTTAAAAAGAGAAAAAGAGAGGGGATTTAGGCCGGATTAGAAGTGAATAAGACCGTTAAAAATAAGAAAATAACATATGGAGAATGGAAAAAATAAGGTAATGGGAAAATAACGGAAATGGAGTTGAAGAGGAAAATAAATTTAAATTTTCGGACAAAAATGAAACACTAAAAATGCTTTTTCTAGACAATTAAAAAGACTCAAAAACTGAGAAAATTCAACTAAATTAATCTTAAATAAAAAAGAAAATTATTAATTTAATTTAAAATTACTAAAAGAAAAATTTTTATTAAGAGAATGAAGAGGCGATTTTTCTTTTTATTTTTTGCAATTTTTTTTATTTCAATGAATTAAAATTTTATTGGCAGATTTTATTCACGTTTTTAATATTTTTATATTGGTAAATTTGTAATTAAAAAATTAATACATATTTCACTTATTTGTTAATGAAAAACATAGAGAACAAAAAAAAGAGAATAATGTTTGTAAATAATAACTAATTTGTAATTTATTTTCAGATTAAAAAAAATAATTTTTTTACAAAAATGAGGCAGGTGTGTGTGTAGAATTAGGCATTACATGATGAGGCTGGCCATTTTTAGTTAGGCCTTTGCGCGTAGTAAAAAGGGGAGGAATGGATGAAATTTTGGCCGACGGCAGATGGAAAATATATAAAAATAAAATGAGTAATTGTATAGTTGGTGGAAAAGAGTTTTCTCTATCAATTTGGATGGATTCAGTTTCCACTCGGGATCTTTCTTTTAACTGATGGAAATTGACATTAATGTAGAAAAAAGGGAGAGAGACAGTTTTGGAGAGACCCCCCCTCCCTTTCAACCATTTCCACTTTTCTTATATAAAAAATCCAGGTATAATAATTGCCCATCCCTTTTATCGTTTCTATAGAAACGGAAATGGACTACACAATTAACAAAAAAAAACTAACATTGTTTGCAAGCTAAATATTGGAGGTCAGAGGGCGTAAAACCTCTTAATTTAAGGATTAAGTGATGAAAATAGATAATGAGTGTTCGAGCGTAAATATCCGTAAATATTTGAATAAATAGTAAAAAACCTAATTTAAGAGGTAACCAAAAATGAATATTGAGGTAATTAATGTGTTAAAATACAAAAAAATTAAAAGCTCCGAGTTATTCAAGGAAATGAAAAATTAAAACGAAAAAATGGGATGCCGGCCTTATTGACGGCCTAAAGTTTTCTCTCCAAAATTAACAAAAAAATCTCTAAAAAAAGTCATTTGGTTAAAAACCGATAAAAGTTGGGGAGAAAAATACACATAAATGCAATAATCTGTGACTAAATTTGGCCACAAGGGAATCTAAAAAAATAAAAGAATTGTGCTAAAACTTTATGGGAAAATTATTTCGATGAGAGAAAAATGAAAAGATTTTTTCTAAAAAATTTTTTGAAGAAATTTATTTAGAGACTTTAAAACACTAAACGTTCTTTTTTTTAAATAACTGAGCTTTTAGCACTCTCTTTATTTTCATAAAAATATTTTTGTTCAGACATAGAGGCAACATTTCGAGAGTAAATAAATATATTTGCGCTAAACAAACCATCCAAAGTAAAGGACTTTTAGCTAAAAACTAATCATTCCTCTTCTTCCCTCTTGCTCGTTTATTTTCTCTCACGGCCAAAAAGCTTGGTTCGGCTAACATAAACACACAAAGATGAGGCTTCATTTAAATAAAAAGAGGTCAGCGACCATCGATGCGCAAACAGCCGATTTGTGTGTTTATATTTGTGTATGCCAGCTATTATTATAGTCTCGACACACCTGCAACCAAACCCTCAATAATAGTAAATATTTTTTTAGAATTTGCAATTAGTAGCTCTATTTATGTAAAATTAAATCAAATTCCAATTTTATAAATAAAAATAGCACTTTTTCCCGTTATGCCCCCAAACAATTCATGAGATAATGTGACAAAAACACCTTTCCCCTTTATTGAAAACGGGTTTCTGAAACTAAAGCTTGGCATATTTCTATTAGTAAATTAGCAGGGAGTAACGGAAAGTACCATAAAAATGTCAAAATATTTTGAAAGAAATTTAAATTTTCAATTGAAAGATCAACGAATATTCGAAAATAATTTAAAAAATAAATATTCTAAGAAAAACATCTTTTTGTTAAAAATCTGGATTGAGATCAAAACGAATTACCAATCCCCAATCGCCAACAGCCATCATTAACTTAATTTAAATTTAAAAATATTATAAATTTAAAAACACAACTTTTCCATCGGGGCTGAAAGCTATTTGACGAATACATCCTTTCAATTCCTTATTGCTTGGAACAAGAAGATAATCACTAAAAATGACTAATAACTATATTTAATTGTAGGTACATATAAGGATGTACTCTTGGGGTTAAAATCGGACTATTTTATATCGAAGATAAATGAGAAAATATTTTTTACCTTTCTGCTAAAGGCAATCTATTTGCATTTAATCTCCATAATCTAATTTCACCTTGTTGACTTCCACAAGCGAGAAACTTTAAAATTTTTATTTTGAAAAAAATCAAAAAAGAATTAACCTTTCGATGTGGATCAATAGCCATTTTAATAAACCACATTTCTGTATTTGGCATTTTCTACAAAAATTTAAATTAATTTACAAAAAAATTAAAATAAAACCATTATAACAGTGTGTGAAGCAAAAGTTTCCGGGCATTTCAGTGAACCTTTACCACAAATCCCTTCTTCAAATGTGCCAAATTTCCATAATGTAATACAATCTTCACTTGACTAAATGGCATATGTAAAGAAATTGGAGTAAATATTTTTTAATTATTTGGAATCTCTCACTCATATATGTTCGCCTTATTTTTGACCTACAATTATCTATTTTTCAATGCATTTTTCTTAACTTGTACACGTTGTGAAACATGCAGAAACACGTCTGCTGTATTATTTTAGAAATTTTGTTATTCTATTAGAGTATGACATTTAAGTTTTACTCTGTTTTTATAAATACTTAATTGAATGCCAAAGGGAAAAAACAAAAGAAAATTCCGAAAATTTAGATAAGGATAGCATTCTAATCTTTACAAGTGCCACAATACTTCCAAAAATAAATTTTAAAAAAACCTTTGAAAATATAAAATCCCCCATAATTCGAACACAATCAACATAATTTGTATGTAAATCTCTTGAATTACAAATAGGAAAATGCAATTCTGTTGGAAATTGTGAGGCAGGTTTGCTTTTTGTTATCGATGTTTGAATGGCTTCACCCACTTCAGTGCCAGGGCCAATATGCCAAAGTTTCACCGCGTGATCCATACTAGCAGTAACCAAAAAATTTGAAGTAACATCAAAATCCTTTCAAAATTGTTTATTTAATTAACGATGGGTATTCACTTAATGTGGTAAAAATTTATTTTAGAAAATCTTCTCTTATCGTGTCGTAGGAATGTGGGGGGGGGGGGGGGGGGGAGCATACAAAATTCCAGACTTCATCGAAAAAAATAAAATTACCAAAGATATGACTTGATCACGATGGCCTTGGATTCCTCCAAGAATAGCCAAACATTGTCTATTCATAATATTCCAAATACGTGCAGTAAAGTCTTTACTTGCTGAAGCAACAATCATTGGATGTGTTGGAGATGTACGCAATTCATTAATTGAATCCCCATGTCCTAGTAAAGACTAAAAAACAAAAGAAATAAAATTTTTTAAATAAAAATACACAAAACATTCTTCCATTGTGTGGACTAAGAACTCGAATAATCCCTCTATGGCCACCAACTACAAGTACATGAAGAGAAGTATCCAAATTATAAGCCCATGTTATGGCATAAAAACATTCATTTTTCTTAATAAAAAATTTTAAAAAATTTTTAAAATTCTCTAACCGCATCTTGGTCATCAAACTGTCTCAATAATCTAATTCCTTGCTGACTTGAAGAGCAACTATAAACAGAAACCTTAATTTAAAAAATTTAAAAAAAAGAAGTAAAAGAATTTTTTAACTTTATTTTTTCCTGCAGTTGCAAAATAATTAATAGAATTTGTGCTTGTTCCTTCTTGAGGTGTAAATGTGTTGAAAGCAATTGAATATACAGTTGTTTTATGACTTTCCTTAATTAAAAAATAATTTTAGAAAAATTAAATTAAATACCACAAACGACGAAGAATAAGAATAAGGGGCTTTTGAGGTTGTCGGCATAAAAATTGAAACGAATTTAAGACAATCTAAAGAGTTTTTTACAAATTATTTACAAAAAATAGAACAAACTTCTCTTAACTTCGCGCAATTTGGGAAATATTCGGAAGACTTACCATTACAAATTTACCATTTTATAACTTTAATGGGTATTGACCATTTTGAGATTAATTAAGTGACATTGAAATTTTTTTCAAAAAACTTGAAAATTTTTTTGAAAATTTTTTCGAACAATACCTTAAAATATTTTTACTTCTACATATTTATTTATTTATAGTCAATTACTAAAATGGAATCACATAAACTTCATACAATGCAATTGCACGTCGAGAAAGGTTTTTTTATTCCACAAAAAGTATTTAAAAAATTAAATAATTTTTTGAAGGTCTACAATCTTCAAATCTTGCAGATGTAATGACAACTATAACAGAATGTGCTCGATATATTAGAGAATATCCTTTTCCTCATTTTGTTCATGCTACTCTTTTTAGATTGGCCCAGGTAAATAAAATTTATATTAAAATTTTTTAAACTTTTCTAGACATTTAATGGGGAAATTTTTGCAAGAAAATTTGAACATTCAATGAATACAATTCGTTTAAGAATTGTTGTAGCAATAAAAGAATGTAATAAATGTCTTTCTTTGGCTTTTTCAACAGAAGAAATAATTCGTTTTATTTTAAAAGTTTCTCATTCAAATGATTACAAAGCTAGATCACTTACACTTCTTCTTTTAGGCTCGTTAGCTCCTTTAACTTGTGAAGATAAAAAGGTTATTTTAATTTATTTATTTACTTAATTAAGTAATTTATCTAAGGAGCTGTTTTTTCAACTCTAGGATTGGGAATTATTAGGGGAAATTTAAGGGAGGGTTATTCTTTAAAATTATTTTTGGAATAGAAATTAGTAAATATATACTTTTATTTTTTAGGTTCATAATTTAATAATTGAATCTTTGGATTGCGTAGAAATGACAGAATTATCCGCAGCTATTCAAGCTGCAAATGAATTGGCGAAATTTTCAAAGTATATATTTATTTTTTCAATTAGGTATAAACTTTTTTTATTTTTAAGATCTTTTTCTTCTCTGATAATCCGTAAAATTGCTGAAATGTTTGGCAAAAATTTTCTTGAAATTTCATTGAAAAATGAACTTTTTGGAATTATTTCTAATTTACGAGGCTTAAGTGAATCTAAAAGCAGTATCGAACTTGGTCGGCGACTTTTGGAAGGACTACCAACAAATGAGATGCATTCAGTTATTTATTGGTATTTTTAAATCTTTTTTAATTTTTATTTATTTTTTTTAGTTCTCTCTCTAAATTATCATCTCGCTGTGAAACAATTTTACCCGAACAGGTTCTAAAAATAATTTGAAATTAAAAAAGCATTTTTTTAAAAAAGATTTTGCTTCTTCTCTCAGAATTGGAAAAAGTTATTAATCAAAGAAATAAACTATTAGTTCATTGTATTCTTCAAAATCTTTCGAGTATCGCTGAATTCAGAAATTTTTGGACAATTGAAAATATTAAAGTATGTTTTTATTCATCAATTTATTTTCATTTTTTGAAGGCCATTCGCGATTTTTATCATCAAATAAATTTGTTGTCTTCAAAAGGTATTCTTTGCACTTGGCTTCATTGTATGGATGTTCTTTCATCAACAGAATTCCACAGCAAAATATTATTAGGTTTGGAATATTGTACTTTTTTCTGTTAAAAAATATTCATTTTTTAAAGAAAAATATCCTTGGTCTGTCCTTCTTAATTCTGGAAATATTGTTGTCAGAATATTTGCAATAAAATTGTCTCTCAACCTCTTATTAAATGGAGAAATGGACGCCCAATTTCAACAAACGCTTTTAAATTCAATTTTAGGTAATTTTTTCAGATAAATTTCTGGATTAATTTTCTTTGAAATTTGAGAGATAAAAGTTTAAAAATTTTAATATAATTATGAAAAATTTATTATTTTAAGTTACACTTTGTCAATTTATTGGCAATCCAATATCTCCATCTTCAATTGTTAATCGTCAAAAACATGAGGTATATTTTTATTAAAAAATTTTTATTTTGTTAATAGTTTCTTTTCCTTGTATCAAAATTTGTTTGTTCACCCAAATGTACTCCTTGTTTTGCTTCTTCTCTAGTCCAAAATATTCTAAGAGCTGAATTAACCTCTTCATATGATAAATTCTTTCAACTTTTGGCTGTAATTAATGAAAATTATTGGAGAGAGTGCCGAGAAATTGGTAAAGAGTTATTAATTTTATCTAATACACTTCCGGGGCCAAATTAACTTGTCAATAGATGTCGACTCCTTTTTATTGTCCAAAAGTTTTTATATATGGGTCTAATACATAAATGGGAGTCTTACGACACCCATTTTGAAAAAGTTGTGGAACTTTTTCAAAATTCATGCATTCTTGCTAATTCCTAGTTTGTAAAACTAGGGAAACTTTTCTAACAATATTGAAAAAATATCAGAAAGCATTCTTTCTTGAAAATTATAAAATTAATTTTTAGTTAATTCTTCATTATTTTCTGCCATTTTCAATTCAAAAAATTTCAATATTGTTCCTCCAATTGTATTTACTATATTACTTTCAACAATGCCATTTTCTCTTTTAAATCAGTCAAATGATCAAAAGTTGACCAATTTTGCTGGGCAAATAATTTTTAATAATTTTAATTATTGGACTATTTATAAAATTGCACGTTCTGCTTTAAGATTTGGGCATTGGAGATATTTAGCATTGCCTTTATTAGAAAAAATTCAAACAGGTGTAAGTTTTTCTTCTATTTAATACAAGACTTACACAGGGAATTTTTTTGAGGTCATGTGGTGGATCAATCTGAAATCTATTAAAAATTTTCTGTAGCAAAGGGGATCAAGCTAATGTCCTTCAAAGCCAAAATTTTATATATTTATTCCCTTCTCTTTATCACTTTCTTCTCCCGTTGATACAGTTTTATTCTCAAAATTAATAATTTTAGTGTGAAAGCATTGAGACAGAATCATGGATTTCTTCTCTCATTTATATTTGTAAAGCACAGCCATTAGCTTTTAATATGGATGAACTTGCCAATTCAGAATCAAATCTTCAATTTGCTTCACTTAATCTTAAGGTCTAAATTCTGATATTCTAATTTTTATTTATATTTTAGTTTCTTGGATCTACTGAAAAGAGTCAAACATTTGGTTTTGCTGTAGATTATGTTAATTGTTTAGAATCAACATTTAGAGGAATTCATTCAATTTTAACTACATTTAATGTTTTACGTTTATTAAATTCTGAAAAACGTCAAATAGTCATACAATCGGTTTTTATAAGAAAATTTTTTAATTTATTTTGTTTAAAGCTTGGAACATATTGTAGTCCAGTTATGGAGGCACGACAACAATGGGTTAGCTTATGCTCTAGATCATTCGATGCAGACACGCAAACGCTTCTTCAAATGGCTTTGATGATTAGGATGTGTCTTTTGATTGAGCAATATTTGGGGATTCTTTCTGATCCTGGAACTGGGGCAAAGTATGAATATTTATCTTATTAGAATATTTTTTATCTCCATTAAGGCTCTCGGAGATTTCTATGGAAGATTTGGGGGAAAGCACACAGAAAGGTTTCCAAGCAAGCGCGCAGACTCAAGGATTTCTTCAACTTCTTTGTTGGGCGCGCAGTGAGTTGATTTCATTGCAATCTACCGATCCAGATCCAATTAGAGGGCTTAAAGTGCTTGTAGATATTCTTCAATGTTTAGTTGATTTTCCACTTGGATTGCCTCGATTCTTTTTTCAACGAGTTCAATTTACACGTATTCGGGTAAAATTTATGGTCGTTTTTATTTTAAAATTTTTCAAATTATTTTTAGTTAATTATCTCACCACAACCGTCAGATGGCCGTGGAGTATTCAAAGTATCCTCTATGGATTTGTTGCCTGTGGTGATTGAAGGCATCATTGAGTCTACTAATAAAAGGAGTATTGAAAGTGTTTGTGTTGTACTTACTCTTAAAAGGGATAATTTGGTTTGTTTTTACTTGAAAATTTTTTTATTTAAAATTTAAAAATTTTAAGGCACACGTCGAAAAAAAGCAAACAACTCAATTAGAACCGGAGCAAAAATATTTTAAATCTCAATTTCTTCTTAAAATTACTCATCAGGTATGAACAAATTATAAAACTAAAATTAAAAAAAATTTTAATAGAAAACACGAATAAAGGCAAAAGTATGGTTTGTAGATGCTGTTACCAAAAAACAATGGTTTGATGATACTGACTCGGCAACTCTTACAGTTGAATTGTTGGATGGAGCAGGAACGTCTGCTGCCGGACAAAGTGTTTAATATAGCAAATTTTATTTTTAAATTATTTTTTTTAATTTATTGAATAAAAATTTACACTTATTCTTTGTTATTACTATTATGTGATATTAAAACACGATTTTTCTTTAAGGGTGTAGGAGATATAGAATTTAATTTGACTTGTGATAAAAAAAATTTAGGAGGTGAAATTTATACCAAAAGAAGAATAAAAGAGGAGCGGGCAATAAAGTGAGCAATAAACTCTAGTGACACTTTGAATTAATGACTGAACAGGCCCTGAGTGAATCATTTCTTATTTGTTTCGCTGTTGATCAACACCTCCAGTTCCAAAATTACTTGTAAATTAAGTTTATTTATCATTTTAAGGTAGTTTACCTTAATCTACTAATTTTTTGGTTATTCAGAGCTTTTAACATCTCAATTAATTAATGACGGATGAAGAGGGACAACTAAATTTTGATCAGATTCGTGCAAAATTTATCCACAACGAGAGTCATGAGGGGAATTCTCATTTTAGGGCAAAATCTCTCACTCCACAAGTGCCAATCAGAAATGGTAATTTTTTAGTCTTGGTTTAAATTTAAATAATACTTTTTTAGGTGAAAGGGCAATGTCAAATCATTCCCATTCTGAAGATAAGTTAACACCAACAAGGAGGGCGCCTGATCCGCCAGTAAGTAAATAAAAAATAATAAATTTTTATTATAGATATAAAATTAAAGATCAATAACAACAACATTTCGCCTCCAATATTTTTTCCTATTGAAGAAGAAAAACCACATTTAGAACACATTGAAGAAAAGGGAAATTATGTAAAGAGTGTTGCTGAGCGATTGGATAAAATGCAGTAAGTGTCTTAATAAATTTAAAATTTATTTTGTGTTAATTCTGAAAGGTTATTCCGACCTATTGAACAGCGCCGAAGTGAAGAAATTATTGTAAATGATACAAATGAACTTCGATTTTCTGAAGCAGAAATAATTCAGGTTGCGGATATTTGTGATTCAGATTCTGAATATTCTGTTCTTTCATATTCTACAACGAATGATACATTAGTTTTAAATAGGAGGTATTTTTAAAATTTTTTTTGTTAAATTGAAATTTTAATATTTTAGAAAATCAAATCCTTTTGAATCAAAAGAGAAGTTATTTGCTGGTATTCTAAGTGAAATGATGAGTAAAGATAACTTTAAAAGGCTAGCTATTAAAAGCGGGTAATTTTTAATGAACTAAAATAATTTTTAAAAATTTTTTAGTCTTCCCTCTGATGTTGGCACTTTAAGAACTTCTGCAAAAAAGGTTCCCTTTTATTTTTAAATAATTTATAATTTTTAAATTCAGAAATGCCGAAAAGTTCGTGCTAGTGATCCAAACCGTTCCTGTCGGGAAAATGGCGAATGCTCAAGATTGGTTAAATCACAAACAGAACCTAGTCAATTCCCTCAAAAAGAAGAAGATAGTGAGCTAAATTTATTTTATAAGTTTTTTAATAGGTCAAAGCTTATTTCTGAATGATATCCCTTGTTTAGAACACCTCTAGATAATTTTCTTAGACACCATTGGGATATTTAAAAATAACAAAATATATATTTTTAGAAGATGAAATGAAACAAAAAACTATAAGCATGGCAAGTACTAATAGTAGCAGTATTTACTCAGCAGAAGATTCTTTGTCTGATCTGCCCGAAATTCCTTTTTACAACACAGGAGACGAAAAAGAAAATGATCGTCTGAGACAATTACATTTTATTGTAGCTGAATTTTATAAAGTGGAAAGAGGTTTCGTAGAGTTATTACAACATATCGGTGTAAATTATCCAAAGTAATTTTTATTTTTTACAATTTAAAATATTTTTGAATAAAAATATTTTTTTTTCAGATATTTGGAAGAATGTCAAAGAAGAAATGGCTATAAATGGTTAACCCCTTCTAAAGGTTCTCATTCTCCTGGGGATGTAATTACACGAATTACTAACCATTTACAAATGATATTAGCTGTTCATGAAGATTTTCTGAATTCATTTGAAATTAAATTAAGAAAATGGTTTTTTCAAATAATTATTTTTTAAATTAAAATTTTTTTAGGGATTCAACAAATCCAGATTTTGCTGAAGTTTTTAAAAATGCTGATTATTTAAAAATTTGTAATGATTTTTTAAAAGAAAAACGAACACTTACTGATGAATTTATTCAATATCTAAAGGATAATTCAGAGTTGGCTTTGGCTACAAGGACATTTGAACAGGTTTGAGAAAATATGAAAATAGAGATATTTTGGATTTTATTTCAAAAATATTATGGATTCTCACAAAAGTTTGATCTTTTGATTTTTGTTATAAAGGAAAACTACCAAATTTTAAGAGAACCAAAAATATTCTAAATAAAATTAAAAAAATTTTTTTAAGGAAGGATTTACAGAACAACATAAAAATAATAATAATAAAATAAATAAATTGATTAAAAATAATATAAATAAACATTATATTGCTCTACAATTAGACAAAGTTCATCAAAATATAGTTCAATATAAAAGTCAAATGGAACGTTACAAAAAATATTTACCTCAAAATTGTGTTGAAGCTGAACTTGCAGATAGTAATTGAAATTTTTATTTTAATAAATTAAAAATTATTTTTTAGAAGCTTTAAGGAAATTGGAAGATGTTTCTAGTGGAGTAAATCAATATTTAGTTGGGGCAGATAATAATGAATTATTAGAATTACATCGAAGACTTCAAGGATCTTTTGATGTAAAGAATATTTTTCTGATTTTAAAATAATTTTTAGGAATAGCTTTTTTATTTATTTATTTATTTATTTATTTATTTACACCACTAGGGTGTGACAGTCAAAAATAAAACAATTTAAAGTGAAATTACGAAAAATAAAAATGCTAATAAAAAATGTCCTTAAAATAAAAATCAAAGCAGCTTAGCAAATAAAATTATCTCATTTGTCATTTAAGATATTGGAAATATCCAACTGTTCAAGAAGTTTAGAAAACATTTTGGGTGTATTTTTTTTAATTTCTATAGGAATTAGTGAATAAATTCTAGCAGTTCGAACAAAAAAGGAGTTGTACCGAATCATGGTTGAACAACGTGTTGGTTGTATTTTATATTTTTCGCCCCTAGTTTTTGTTTGTTTTATGATATAGGAATTATTATGGTTAATTTTAATTTTCCCAAATATATTTTGATGAAATAGCTTTAAATCAGCTTTAAGTCTTCGACTTTCAAGGGATTCTACTTTGAAATGTTGTAAAAGTGTTTTGTATGGTGGAATATCTTCTATTTTTACCTTTGTGATTCTTTTGTAAACAAATCTTAAATATCGTTTTTGTATGTTTTCTATTAATTTAATGTTTTTCTTAGTTAAAGAATTCCAAACCGGTGACCCAAATTCTATAATTGACCTTACGTATATATTAAATGCTTCTATAAGAATTTTAGGATCTTGTGATTTTAGAGATTTAATTAATGCATAGCAGTTTCTATTGGCCCTTAGAGATATTGTTTGAATATGTTTATTAAACTTGAATTTAGAAGTGAAGAAAATTCCGAGATCCCTATTCTTGTCTTCATTACTAATTTGGAATATTTTGTGGTTTCCTATTGAGTATTGTAATTTAGGGTTTGATTTACCTATATATAATACTGAGCATTTATTTAATGATATGTTGAGACCATTGGTGTTACAATATTGAATGAATTTATTAATAAATAATTGTAAAGAATTGTTAGATAAATCGGTTTTTTTTAGAATTTGATAGGCTTTGATGTCATCGGCAAATAATTTTATTTTTATTTCAGGAGTGTAACAGAATGTTGGTAAGTCCGATAAGTATATATTAAAAAGGAGCGGGCCTAAGATAGATCCTTGCGGAACTCCACTAGTAATAGAGAATTGTTCAGAATATTCATTTCCTATTTTAACAACAGATTTTCTGTTGTGTAAGTAATTAGAGATCCATTTTAAGAGTGATTTTTCAATTCCTATTACTTTTAGTTTTGTTAAAAGACGTTCATGGGGTATAGAATCAAAGGCTTTAGCTAGATCGAAATAAACTATGTTTATTAAATTTTTATTATCCAATGCAAATGATATATCATCTTGAACCTCAATTAGTTGGGTAGTGACGGATTTGTTTGGTCTGAATCCATGTTGACAATATGGTAATATACCATTTTGTTCAACATAAATTGATATATGGTTTGCAATAATTTGTTCAATTACTTTTGTGATTGAACATAGTAATGAAATTGGGCGAAATTCTTCTATTTTGGGTATCTTTAATGTTTTTGGTATTGGTATTATTATACTTTGCTTCCATATTTCAGGAAGTGTTGAAGTCATTAATGAATAAGAAAAAATATAATATAAAGGATAATAAAGACTTTTAGCGCATTTTTTAAGGAATATACATGGTATTGAGTCATAAGAAGAGTTAGTTGAGGTTATTTGTTAAAAAATGAGGTTATTTGTTAAAAATGTGTCTAATTAGGAAGTGAACATTTTTGACAACATTTTTTAATTTTTTTATCAATTTTTTTAAGGTTTTTGAACCTGGAAGAAAACTTCTTCACAAAGGAGAATTACTTAGATATACAAGAAAAACGCCACAGCCTCGTTATTTAGTTCTTTTTTCTGATTTTCTGCTTATTTGTAAATATCCTTCAATTGGTGATGCATTTGAAAAATTTCATAAAATTAAAGTAGAAGATATTCAATTAAATATTAAAGGTATTTTTAAAATATTTTTATTTAAAAAATTTTTTCTTTTAAAAAAGATCATGTTGATTACGAGATTGAATTTACTTTAATTTCTCCACAAAAATCCAGCAGTTTTGGAGCTAAAGATAAACGAGAAAGGGATGTTTGGGTACAAAGAATTTCTGAAGCTAAAACAAAATTTTTGTTTTTAACTAAATTAAATAATAATAATTCTTTAAATGATCGAAGAAATTTATTAGAGAATGGAAATGGAGAAGTAGAAGAAGTAGAAAAATCTTCGAAAATTGAATTTTCATCTGGTTTGGAATTTAACTAAAAATTTTGTTAATTAAAAAAATATTTATAGCAGCCCCAGAATGGATGCGTGATAGTAAAACAACAAAATGTTTAATTGTTGGATGTGAAACAAAATTTAATTTAGTAAAAAGAAGGCATCATTGTAGAGCTTGTGGTTGGATAATTTGCGGTAAATGTGTTGGGTATGCTCCAGTAGTTAATTTAGAATGGGAACGAGATATTGTTTGTCCTGAATGTTTTGAAAAGACTGTTATAGCTTGTAAGTTTTTGTTTTGTTTTAAAGTTTTTATTCAATTAAAAATATCTAGAAATTCCTTTAATTTCAAATATTAGAGAAGTAAAAATAAAGCAGTTATTGTAGACAAGCGGGATCCGATTTGGTTGTAAAAATTTCTCTGTAACCCACCGCAAAGGGTTTTTAATGGATATCTCTAACGGGCCACAATAATTAAAATTCTGAATTCTCAGAAACTTAAAAAATCTGTTTTTAGTTGAACGAGGAACTCTATTTACGTCACAAAAAGTTAGAGTAATTAAAACAGATGATGAAACAGAATTACCTGAAAATTGTCTAAAAAAGGTTTTTATTTAATCAAAAATATTTTTGTTTAGTATTCAATTAATGATATTTCTTTACGAATTTTTTATGAAAATGGTTCTCGTCTTTTACCTTTATCTAAATTATTTATAATGTCAAAAAATGGAATTAGAAAGAAAATTATTGTTAAAGAAATGGTTTCTATTGATAATTCATTTCCATCTGGAATTGTTTTTTTGAGGTAATTTTATTTGAAATTTAAAAGAATTTTTCCTTATCTCCTTAAATTCTGAGAAAAATTATTTTTTAAAATATTTTAAAGGAATTCACGAGGAATTGTATTACAACGATGGGCAAGACTTTTAGATCAATTTTGCCTAAATTTTTATGAGGCGGAATTTGTTAGTTTATTATTAATTTCTTTGAAAAACATTTATTTATTTATTTAAAAGGATGATAAACCAAGTGAAAGTTATTTTATTTATGGTTATTCGGTAACATCAAAGGAAACAGAAAAGGACGGCACGGTTATAGAATTAACCCATCATAATCAAATAAAAACGGAGAGAAAGGGGGATGAAATTATTTTTTGTGTGAGACATCCAGGATCGGCAACAAAGTTTTTAAAAAGAAAAGAATATAAAAATAATTTTTAATTTTAAGTTGGTTAAATGCATTAAATGAAATGTTGGAAATTGATGCTTAAATAAATAAATTGGTGGACTTTATAAACTTCGGGTTATTCCAAAATTATTTTAATTTTTCTTTTTATTTTGCCATGACATTCTCTAATTTTTTAGAATTATTTATTACTGCCTTAATTAAGATTTTAAATATTAATTTAAAATTTAAAAATTTTAAATATTTTTTATTATTAATTAACTATTTTCCCTCAAATAGTGGACATATGATTAAATTTGGCCCTCAATTTTTTAATTAGTTTATTTTCTACCAATTTTCTTAATTTATATCAAAAAAATATCCATTTTTGTTTATACCCCGTGATCTGCTAAAAATTGTAAATAATATATCTAATTTTTGAATAAATGTTATTCCATGACATTTCTTTTTATGTTTATTAGTTCATGTCTTTATATATTTTGAGTCAAGATGCAAAAATGTAAAGGCGGATTTAGGGAGTCAAGGGGGTTTAACGAGATATCGGGAGATTGGTGGAATACCTTTTAGTACCACAGGTGGAAATTTTGAGAATTATGGGAGGTAAGAAGCCAGATTTCTTACAATTTTGTCCTCAGATTGTGACCTTTTTATCGTGATCCTATTTAGTCCAATAATCGTTTAATTTTTAATTTAATTTAGATATTTCTAAAAATTAATATTTAAATATTTTAATATTTATATTTTGCTTATATTTAATTTTCTCTAATAAAATGCAACAAAAATTTAAATCTTTTTATCGTTTGGTTAAATCAGCATTTGGACTTTTATCTCAAAAAATTTTAAAACAAAAAAATCAACAACAACAAGAGAATAAAAATTTTATGAAAGAGAATCTTGAATTTGGGTGGGTTTTGATATTTTTTGAATTTTTGAGAGAATTAGTGAATTTAAAAATGTTTAGTTAATTTTTAATTAAACTTATTTTCCCTCAATTTTTTAAATTTAAGTGAATATAATAATTTAATTTTAATTGAACATAAACAACAACAATTTACTCCAATTAATTCAAATCTTTTTCGTTCACAAAGCGTTGATTCTTTAATTTCTGTTTTTGTTCAACGTCTTTATTGAAGAAAAATAATTGGAAAATATTTTTTAAGAATTATTTTGATGATAATTAATTATTTATTTGGATATATTATCTAATTTTTAATTATTTATTTGTATTTTAAATAATTATTTTTTTAAATTTTGTTAAAAGTTTAAATTTTAATTGGCGTCATTTTAATTTTTTAAATTCTTAGAAAAATTATTTAAAAAAAACTTTTCTAAAAATATAAACAAAATAAATAGTAAATATTTTTTTGTAATTTCCCCTCCCCCACTTAATTAAAAAAAATAATAATTTTTTAATTAAAAAATTAAATATTTAATAAATACAAAAATAAGGAAGTGAAAAAAATAACAAAGATATAATATGTAGAGATTCCCTATGGAATTAAAAACAAATGAAAAAAATTTATTAAAAAACTAATAATAATAATAATATGATGTTTGTTTGTTATCTTTTATTAAAAAATATTTTTATTTTTGGATATCTACAGACAAAACTAATAAAAATTGGGAGTTAAGGGACATTGGGATTCTTGTCTAATAATGTTTAAACCATAGGGTGTTAAGAAAGTTAGGAATGAAGTATTTATTTACAGAATTCAAGAAAAAATATTCTTCGGATATAAAATAAATATGATGAGATAGAGAACTAAATTTGGAATAAAATTTATTAAATGTTTAAAGGATCCCAACCTGCGTTGATACAGGGTCAAACGCGTGTGCAAAGACTTGCACTTCTTTTTTGGTTGAAAATTTATAACTCAGGATAAGTTATTAATTTTAATTTTTTGCGGAAGCTAGAGGGGTCTCGGATCCTCAAAAATTATAAAATAAAAATTTTTAAACTATTTGGAGAGATATTTATTGCGTTTTTTGCCGAATTGCGTTTCTTGTTGTCTCATCCTTCTCCTTTAATGTTCCGCTTTTCAAAATTTGTTTCGGCACCCCCTGCCATAAATTTTGGTGATATAAAAATATATTTGACAAAATACATATTAGGTACAAAATAGTATAAAAAAATCCTTGTGGGAATTAATTTTTAACAAACAGCTACTTACAAATTACTACTATTTAATTACCTAAAATATTAACAAAAACTTTAATCTAAAAAGAATATTTTTTGAGAAAAAACACAGAGAACAAGTCCACTATACATATATTTAACATATAATTTTTTTTCATGTTTCATATTTTCTCTTATTTTTATATTAAATTTAATTTACTCCTACAGTCATTTCCTCTTTTTTTATTACCGGATATTTAATTTTTATTCCAAATTAGGTATTTTTATTTAATTAAAAAGGGCATTTAATTATTACAAAATTTAATTTATTTAAAATTATTTTATAAAACATTTCCGTAAATATTTAAAATAAAAGGATTTTAAATCAAGCTTATACAAAGTACATATAATTACAAACTAAATCGCAGAAATTTCCATTAACTTTTAATTTAAATTAAAAATAATTTTTATTTTTAAGGATCAAAAGAGATTAAAAAAAATATTAGTAATTTTTTAAATTAAAATTATTTATTTAACATTTAAATATCCACCACCATCTCTTAAATATCCTCCACCACCACCATCCCCATCTCTTTTATTTATTTATTTAAAAAAAATTTATTTGTCTCATAAAATATTTATTATTTTAATAATGCCACATACATTCTCACTATTATTTTTATGCGTCAAAAAGTCATAAAAAAGAGAAGATGAAGAAGCAGTTTTGACCAAAATTATTTTTTGTTGTCTATTTTTTAAAAATTAATTATTAATATCTTAATCCTTTTTCCTCTTTCCTCCTCTTTTTTGCGCATTTGAATGACCTCAAAAAAATATTTTTTTAGAAAAATATATTTTATTTAAGTTTTTCATTTAACAATTTTTTTAAATAATTATTTATTTAAATCCAAAAATAAATATTTTTAATTTATAAACTTAACTAGACATTTAAATTAATTTTCTAAATTTGTTTCAATTAAATATTGACGTTTAACCTCCCCCTCCTCCTTGCACTAAGTAGAGGTGTGCCAGTTTTATTTCATTAATCTCGCTAGATTTTCAATGCCTTTTAACTTTCGCTTTTCTAAAATATTATTTTGGCTCACATCTCTCCCTCCTCCACACCTTTTTAAAAATAAAAAGTCCTTAAATGGACTTAAATATTTTTAAAAAACCTCTCAACCTCTTCAACTCTTTTTCCGCCTCCTCTTTTTTAAATTTTCGCAAATTTTTAAGTTTATTAAAGACAGCTAACCACGCCTTTTATTTTAAAAATATATAAAAATAATATTTTTCTTCTTTTAACATTTTTACTTTTAATTTTTGTTTGAGCTTTTGAGCCTAATAAAGTTTAAAAGTTCGTCAAAAAATCAAAAAAATTGAAAGACCACTTTACCTGGATGTTTACCAAAAGTAAAGATTTTGAAAATTTTGTGCCCAAGAAGCCAGAAATTCACCAAAAATTAACTTCCATTTTCTGTAATTTTTAAAGAAAAAACATTAGAAAATCTTATTTCCATTATTCTTTCGAAGAGAGAAATTAATTGTTTAGAATATTTTAAAAAACCCTCCCATCCTTTAAGGATTTTAAAAGCCATTTAAAATGGCCATCTTCGATTTATTTAATTCTGCCGACATAAAAAATAAATTTCCGATTTTCGGAAATCGGGGCGGCAGGGTCCCTGATATACAACAGATTAAAAACCCAATCAGAATACCCAAAAAATTCTGGAAAAATGCTGTTTCATAATACAGTCAGTGAAAGATTTAAATTTTATGATGAAAAATAATTTTATTTAATATTTTAAATTTTTTTTTCTAAAATTCCAAAGTCTTCTTTTAATTAAAAAAAATATTTTTTTTATTCTGACCTAAATAATTTTAAATATTTATGTATAAAGGTTATAAAAATAAATATTTAAATACTACTAAAAATATATTAGTAGTACATTTTTTGGGTCTTTGCAACAAATTAAGTGAAGAGAAGAAACCTTTGTAAATAAATTATTTTTTTTTAATTTTTTAACGTCATCCTAACTAAATATTCCTCTAGAAAAA